GGTGTGTGTGTGTGTGTGTGTGTGTGTGTGTGTGTGTGTGTGTGTGTGTGTGTGTGTGTGTGTGTGTGTGTGTGTGTGTGTGTGTTCTGTCAAGGAGGGTCATGTGAGCCCATCTCTGTTTTGGGCTTCAAACAGCTGTAGGTTGTTAGTGTCAGCCTTGTGTTATAGCAGAGCCATGGGAGGAGAGAGTGGGGGAGACGAGGGGTCGTTGTGTGTGTGTGTGTCTGACTTGGCGGGGTCTCATAAACCCTGGTACTTGGCCTAAGTTTAGCACAGCAACAATAAAAACCATAGCTTCCTCATCGTGCCCCAGTGGTACACACACACACACACACACACACACACACACACACACACACACACACACACACACACACACACACAATACCACACTTCACCTCTTTGGTCCTAATACACTAAACGTCCATAAAAGGTCAATTTTACGTGTTTCGGCTGCGTCTAACTGCTGGAGTATGTGGCTAATTTCATGCAACACTCATTCCCACTTTTACAGGAACAGATATAACTTAACAAGACAGGGTGGGGATACGCTTTAATGTGTAAACTCAATCTAAACATATCTCTGGTTAAATTTGTTTTTGAATTCTATTATTTGTTTTCGCGGTTAGATAATGAGAAGATGAAGCGTGCAAGGAGATTATTTTTTTGGTCCAAAGATCGCTTAGCCTGCATGAGGGGTGTTTTTAGGGAGGAGAGGCCCATCAAATGTTTGCTGTGAGGTCAGAAACAGTCAGAATGGGATGTCCTGTTCTCTAACAACGGGTCAGATCGACTTGTCCTGCTCATTTTCTGCATCCCTTGAATGAACTCACGATGCGTAACGAGATGATGTTGACCCCTCTCAGCCTACAGTTACAGATCAGCTCTGGTAATGTAATTGGTGTTAAGAAAAGACTATTCTAGCACAAAACCCAAGTGTCACACAAGTTAAAGGTTTATAGGAAAACCTGTCGAACTTTGAAGAAACTCTTAATACTAACAATATCCCTGGCATAAAGAAGCCTAGAAACCTACTCTGTTTATGGAAACTTCACAAAGGATTACAGAGAATTGGACAATGATATATAATGCTTCATGTTGCACTTTTAGCTGACGTTGTGTCCAATATTGTTAGCAACAAGAATGATTCACAGCAGTAGTAGCTTTAATCCCACCACGGAAAGTTCACGTTGGGAATTTCCAGTCAGGATTTGACTACAAGTTTGGCAGCTGACGCCTCGTGTTTCTTTGCTCTTTCCTGCACATAACTGACCCACAAGTGTGTGTGAAAGTAACACATGTATTTAATGTGACCTATTGAAAGAGATGGAAATGTGTGCCTTTCATAAAGAACGCACTATTGAAGATTAAAGGTGTGAAAAAGTTTAGAGGTGACGAACTCATTTCCAGGTTCATATTTGTATTTTGTTCCTCTACTGGGACATGTCTCCATGCTTTAATGTTCAAAAGCTCTTTATTGTTCTCATACTATCTGTGCTGCAGAACCTCTTTTCACCCTCTGTCTGAAACCAGAGCCCAGTCTGCTCTGATTGGTTAGCTGCAGTCAGTAAGTATTCTGTCTTTGTGATGTAGTTTTGTTTTAAAAAGTTTCCGATATGACAACAGTGATTCAAACACTCCCCCTGACTTCCAGAGGAACAGCGGTGTCCTCAGTCAAAGGTTTCTGGATCACCTATTTCTGTCCGGCTCCTCTCTGGAGAGGAAGCCATCGGTGACTTTCCACCTTGAAATGAGCGCTAGCTAGGCGCTACGCCCCCGCTGTGCGACAACGTCAGTGGACCAAAGTCAACAAGGCCCGCTGTGTGAGTGTAACTGAAGCAGGGACGATGCTGTGTGGCCGCACCGTGCCCAGAATAGAGCATCATAAGCATAATGGCTTCATTCAGTTATTCACACACACACACACACACACACACACACACACACACACACACACACACACACACACACACACACACACACACCTCCACATGCTTTTACTCTCTTGGTGCTTCATGCAAAAGTTTCCTAAGGTGAAGAAGGTGTTTGTTGAAGTGTATCTGGCTCACATTGTGTTTTGATAGTTCCCCCCTATTGCACACAAACTACTTGAGGATTTAGATTTTTGTGCACAATATATATTTTTCTGTGACAGGCCAAAGAACTTTCCCTAGAAGCTCCTCCTCTGGCCCAGCTCAGGCCTCGGCAAATGCATGTGAATATGACTGTTTGTATGCACATGTCCAATGATGATGTATAGTTCTCCTCTCTCCAGCATATGGCAAGTCACCGCAATTAGGCCAGCATCCCGCTCGCGAAGCCTGCAGAAAGACGCCCCAAAGTGCCCACATTGATGCTTTTCAGACATATTTGCATTTCTGCGAGGCTCGCTGGTGCAGAGACAGTTTTGTCAGGCAGCGATTGTTGGGAGAACTCCATGATTTTTCTCTCCACCGCTTCTCCTCTCCTTGTTTCTCTGCTCATTCCACACACTGACAGGCTGCCCTGTGCTTCAGATGAGAGGGCAACAAACGGTGACTGCGTTCATGTATTAGTTCAAGTATCTAGTTAGCAGCGCATGTCAATGCCTGACCATGCAGCCAAGCATATCTCTGTGTGTCTAGACGAGGCTAAAAGGTGTGTGTGTGTGTGTGTGTGTGTGTGTGTGTGTGTGTGTGTGTGTGTGTGTGTGTGTGTGTGTGTGTGTGTGTGTGTGTGTGTGTGTGTGTGTGTGTGTGTTGTGTGTGTGTGTGTGTGTGTGTGTGTGTGTGTGTGTGTGTGTGTGTGTGTGTGTGTGTGTGTGTGTGTGTGTGTGTGTGTGTGTGTGAGATCCTCTTCCAAGTCGGTCGGTAGCAGATGAACACTGATGGAGCAGAATGGATTTTTTTAAAAAGGAGGGGAAGAGGAGAGAGGAGGAAAGGCGGTTTGTTGTTCCTCGAAACCTGTTCACAGAAATGAAAAAGGGTTTGCGGTAGAAAAACAATCGCACACCGCTGAGGGAGGCCTTTTCCTCGTAGTGGAAATGTCTCCTGCATGTATGGATGTGTAACAGGATTTACAGTGTGAGTGGGTGTGAGTGCACATGCTAACCGCTACCAGACTCGTCCCAGATGTGCATCAGTGTGAAGCAGCTGTACAGAGGTGGTCAGAGCCACGTCTGCACAAACAATACTCTCAAGCGTCCAAATCATGCCCATGTGAGGCCAAACTATAGCATGAACACACACTAATTAAGACACACTAAGCGCTTTCATTGTTTTGGGTTTAAAAGTTAAATATGATTGACTTATGAGCTTCTTAAACTGCTCAAATGACACAGTAAGCGGGCTCGTTGGCAAGATCATTTTAGCATTGTTTGAGTTTTACACATAGAAAACCAATCCGATTACGTGCTTTGTTTGATTGGACACAATAGAATTAAGGTTTTGGAGCAAGATTATTCCGTTATTTAACGCATTTGGTTCAGAATGACTCATCATTTATATTGAAATTGGGTTAAAAACGTCCACAAATCTTGACCAGAATCAGTCATACCATATAAAAAGTCAAAAAATCCTTATAGAAATGGAGCAGGAAACAGAGACTGGATGATTTCACTGACGCAAAGCTCCAGTCAATTCTGCAACCAGGCAAGAATCATCAATTATATAAAAGCATAAAAATACCACTGATTTAAATGACTTATGTCGTAGAGCTAGTCATTTTGGCTGCTTTAAAACCAGTGTCGATGACCATATCTGCAGAGTCAGCGCTGCTCTGCTGTCTGCTCCTGGTTATCGGACACTGTGTAGCTTGCTGTTGGTATAGCAACATTAATGAGATAAATTCAGGGGATTTTCATGCAGACTTTTATCCAAATGTGTGTGTGCATGTCGCCGTGTAAATATGGATACTATGGTCAGAGCTCATAAACATGCTGGAGCTACGAGGCCTTGGCGAACACACTATCACCGTATTATAATTTCTCTCCTCGGTCTCACGTACAGACACAGCTGAGGCCGATTTGAACACAATGTCCAGCAAGCTAATTAAATCTGGATCAAGATGGTGCAACGTGTTGTTTAGCACACGCTCAATTCGACGTGCCCTTGATGATACGTGACGCTTTTATTAGGCACGGAAGGAATCAGTTTCTCCTCTTGAATCATGTAAGCAAGAGGACATTTGACATCTTAATTAGAGGCAGGAGGTGAGGTTGAGGGAACACATCTGTTGGTAGAATAAACAATCGTGATGTTTGGGATTGGTTTGTCTTAGAAGGCAATGCAAGAAGGTGATAATGCGGGAAATCTGTTTACTTCTAAACACAAGGAAACGTACATCAGAGAAATGAGCAGAAGACGACAGACAGGAAGTAAACACTAAAGGAAACAACAGAAGAAGACAGACAGGAAGTAAACACTAAAGGAAACAACAGAAGAAGACAGACAGGAAGTAAACACTAAAACTCTGCAGTGTTTCAGTGTGTGCACGTGCATGTTTTGTTTATGTACACAGCCCTATAAAAACCCCCACTGAAACCCAAACTCTTTAGAAAAACTAAATGAAACGCAGTAAAGCGTGACCACCTTTTACACCATCAAAGCTAAACACAAGACCCACATGGTCTCTTATTCCCTTCCCCTGCCCTCTTTTGGTCCACTTCGCCTCACAGGACTTCTTGCTCTCCATGGACTCAGGTCACAGCTAATTTGCGACGGCCATCTTTGTTTCCCACTCCCTCCCTTGCCGTTTCTCAATGTCGAGTATACCCGCTGCAGAGCCACTATTTCAAGCCGAATGCTGGGCATTTAACATGCATTTAAACAGCCCTTCGGCGCCACTCACTGACGTAGTATACTTGAAATAGTGGCTCTGCAGCGGGCATACTCGACATTG